TATCTGTTTTTGGAATTAGAATAATACTGACCATATAAAATGACTTTGGGAGCCTGCCCTGTTCCTGAATTTTACATACTATTTTGAAGGAGAGGTGTTAGCTCTCTCAGAATGCTTGGTAAAATTCACTTGTTCAGCCATATAGTCCAAGACTTTTGTTTGTTGGGAGGGTTTTCATTTCTGTTTCAATTTCATTAGTTGTAACCTGTCTATTCAGATTCTCTGCTTCTTCCTGATTTATTTTTGGAAGATTGTATGTTCCTAGGAATTTATCCATTTCTTCTAGATTGTCCAGTTTGTTGGCATATAATTGTTCATAATATTTTCTCAAAATCCTTTGTATTTCTTTAGTGTCCATCGTTATTTTTCCTCTTTCATTTTTTATTGTATTGGGGTCCTTTCTCTCTTTTTCATGTTGAATCTGGTTAAAGGTTTGTCAGTCACATTTACCTTTTCAAAAAACCAGCTCTTGGATTCATTCATCTTTCATATCATTTTTTACTCTCTATTTCTTTGATCTGCTTTGATCTTTATTACTTCCTTCCTCTACTCACTTTGGGCTTTGTTACCATTTTTTCAAGTTCCTTTAGATGTGAAGTTAGACTGTTCATTTGAGCTTTTTCTTGCTTTTTTGAGATACACCTGTAATGCTATGAATTTCCTTTTTAAGATTGCTTTCCCGGTGTCCCACCGATTTTGGGTTGTCGCTTCCTCATTTTTATTTGTTTTAAGTTATCTTTTGATTTCTCCCTTGATCTCTTTATTGACCCATTCACTGTTTAATAATGTGTTATTTTGTTTCCATGTCTGTGTGTTTTTCAGTGTTCTTGTGATTGATTTCTAGTTTGACACCATTGTGTTCAGAGAAAATGCTTGATATGATTTCAGTCTTCTTAACTTTATTGAGGTTTGTTTTGTGCCCTAGCATATGGAATATCATTGAAAACATTCCATGTGCATTTGAAAAGATGTATAGTCTGCTGTTTTGGGGTGAAATTCTCTGAAGATATCAATTAAATTTCTTTGTCCTAGTGTGTCATTTAAGGCTATTTTCTCCTTATTAATTTTCTGCCTGGAAGATTTATCCATTGAAGTTAATGGGGTGTTAAAATCCCCAACTATAACTTTATTTCTGTTGATCTCTCTCTTTATGCCCATCAAGATTTGCTTTACATGTTTAGATGCTCCTACTTGGGTGCATAAATGTTTACTAGGGTTATATCCTCATGATGAATTGTTCCTGCTGTCATTATGTAGTATCCTTCTTTTTCTCTTACTATAGCCTTGGTTTTAAAGTCTATTTTGCCAGATATAAGTACTGCTACCCCAGATTTTTTTCTTTTCCACTTTCATGAAATATCTTTTTCTGGTCCTTAACTTTTAGTCTTTGTATATGTTTCTATTTGAAATAGGTCTCTTGGAGTCACCATATATATGGGTCTAATTGTTTTATCCATTCATCTGCCTTCTGCCTTTTGTTTAGCACTTTTAAGGTATTTACATTTAAGGTGATTATTGATACATATGTAGTACCATTTTATTGTTAAACCATTTTCCTTTGTTGTTGTTTCTTCTTCTTCTTCTTCTTCTTCTTCTTCTTCTTCTTCTTCTTCTTCTTCTTCTTCTAGCGAGCCCTTTTACATTGTTGCAGTACCGGTTTGATATTAACAAACTCTAGCTTTTTCTGATCTAGGAATTTCCTTATTTCTCCTTCAATTATTTTCTGGGTAAAGTAGCCTTGATTATAGGTCCTAGTTTTTATCACCTTGAATATTTCATGCCATTCCTTTCTGGCCTGAAATGTTTCTGTTGAGTAATCAGATGACAGTCTAATTGCAGCTCTCTTGTAGGTTGCTACCTGCTTTTCATTTGTAGCTTTTAGGATTTTCTCCTTGTCTTTAAACCCTGTCATTTTAATTGTGACGTGTCTCAGTGTAGGCTTCTTTAGGTCCAACTTGTTTGGGACTCTGAGGTTCCTGGGCTTGTATGACTTTTTCCTTCACCAGGTTAGGGAATTTTTTGGTAATTTATTCAAATAGGTTCTCAATCCCTCGCTTGGTCTCTTATCATTTTAGTATACCCATGATATACATATTGTTATGTTTCATTTGTCCAAAATGATTCTTAAGCTCTTCTCATAATTTCTAAATTGTTTTTTGTCTTTTTGCTGCTCTGTCCAGGTGTTTTTTCCTACCTTGTCTTCCAAAATATTGATTCAGTCCTCTGCTTCATCTAACCTACTGTTTATTCCTTCCAGTGTATTATTTATTTCAGATATTGTATTCTTTATTTCTAACTGGTCCTTTTTTGAGGTTTCTATGTCCTTTTTCATGCTATTGAGTGTCCTTATAATCATTAAACTCCATATCTGATAAATTGCTTACCTCCATTTCATCTAGTTCTTTTGGAGAATTAGCTCGTTCTTTCATTTGAGGTCTGTTTCTTTGTCTTCCCATTTTGGCTGCTTCTTTGTGTTTCCTGCCTTGGCGGCTAAATGGATCAGCTGTTAATATAACTAAGCTTAATCTGCAGCCATACTTAAGTACCACAGGGTGGGGCAGAGTAGTTCCTGTGGGCTGGACTATTGCTTCCCCTCAACCTGATGCTATTCCAAGAAGAGTGCTCTGCCTGAGAAAGATGGGTTCTACAGTATGGGGAATGACTTAGCACATGGATCCTGGTAGCTATTGCTTCATTTCTCTCCCCTGAGCTATGAGCTCCAAACTCTCAAGGTTTTTAGTCCACTCTGCCCTTCCTCTGCTGAAGTCCAGGGTCAGTGGCTGCAAATGAAATGTTGTGTTTTGGTCCTTTGAGAGGCTCTCTGCATCTCCAGCAGTTTCTTCTTGGCAGACAGAAACGCTGCTGCTTTTCACAACTGGATGTTATCTAGTATCCTCTCAGGCTTTGCTGCTGTAGTCTGGGGAGCCCAGCTTGGGGTGTAGTACCCACACTTCTCTTGGGGTCCACCCCTGACTGCCAAGTATCCCTCCACAACTTCAGCTGCCACCCATGGGAGCTCAGCCTTCCCTCTAGCGTCTCCACACTCTCTATGAGTCACATTGGGTGAAGTGGTTTCTTCTGTCTGTCCTTGACTATAAGGCTTCTCTCCAACTAGAGTTCACTTGGTTATTCAAGGTGATTTCTCTACAGTTGAAATTCTAGACTGGTCCTGGGAGAAGGCTAGTATAGATTCCACTTACCCCTTGCCATCTTGGATCTCCCTACAATTTCTTTTATATATATATATATATACTACATACACACACACACACACACACACACACACATATATATATAAAACACTGGGTATTGAACTTGATAAAATTTAAATAGTAGCCCAATAAACATATGAAACTATCACTTCACCTCCATGTTTTTTATTTTAATTATGTGAAATCGAATGTAAAATAAGGCAAAGTTTGAAACTTCTTTCTTCTTAACTAATTGCAAAGAAGGGTTCATGTGACAAAAGAATCATACAATATGATTACTAGAAGAAATCATTCATTTTCTGTCTTTTTACCAGATTTGTTTATTTGCAATCTATTTATTATATATATTCTTGTTATATTTCATGTTTGCCTTGTAATAATTTTTGAAATAAAATATTTTTGAATTTTAAAGTATTCTTGCTCTTTAATATCACATGATCAGAGGTTAAAATGAATCCTCTTAGCTTAGTCAGCTATAAAACTAGGGTAATATAATGGGAATTTAAATTAAGAAGACATTTTTCCTATTCTTTCATGAGATGAATTCACATAGGAATTATATAGGTACTTGAAGTAAGAGCTTAGATTATTGAGACTTTGCTTTTTTCCAGAGCATTAACCCAATTTGTATGCATCCCTCATTAGTTTTTTATCACAATTTCATATATAACTTCATATATAATCTAGGCATATATTTTGCATTTTTTAGTTAACTGGGTTAAACACTATAAATATTTTTTATGGCAACAGACTTCCTTAAACAAATGTGAACTACTAAAATGACAATGTCTTAATTAAATAATTGAAGCTATATTAATAAAGTATATTTTCAATTTAGATGGCTCATAGCATAGCACAAAGTTAGAATTTGCAGATTAGTGGAAACTTGGCACTTTTAACACTTAATCTTATTAACAGCTTTTATGTTATCTGGAGGTCTTAGAATTTAATAGGACACTTTTGTTCTGCATTCAATTAATGCCTTTACCAAACTTCTTTAAGTTAACAAAGTAAATATTTAATGTTTACATTGTGCAAGATATGATATCAGTTAAGAAGTGAATGGAAAAGGAATAGGGGATGAACTTAGGGAATCTCTAGCAGTTTCTAGTTGATAGACCAGTTTGTAAATCATTATCCTGTCCAGATTCAGAGGATAGATATATTTTGTTCAGTCAGCACTGATTTTAAAAATACTGTTTGCTATCATTTAAGATTGGGGGATTTTATGTAAAGATTCAGATTTCTGACCTCATCTGACATATTTGACATCTGACATCTCTGGGTTGGAATTGTTCTTTTCCACAGTCAACAGTTAACTGGAACTGAGTAGCATTTGCTTCATGTGGGGAGGGCATGCCTCAAGTTCTCCTCAGCACCACCCAGACAACCTCATTCAAGTTACCTGCCAGGTTTAACCGGCCCTCCTCACTAGGAAGAGGAAACAATTAGCAAAGCAATGAGAAACCACAGTTGGCACTGTGCTTTCATGTCACAGGCACTAGGTATCTGAGGAAGAAAGGAAACAAACAAGGATATGAGAGATGAGAAGTGGGATAGAAATCCTGTTTCCAGTTTCAACGCTATTCATTTAATTGCCAAAACATTTTTTCTATGTTGTGCATCAGTAAGCATTGAATATTATGAGAGATGACTTTGCTCGTTTACCACAACTCTACCCACAACTATTGCCCCTTTAAAGTACCTCATGTGAATGTTTTTCTTGATTCAAAGAACAGTCTGACGTATTATTAAAATGCAACTCTTCTTTGTTTTATTTTTACAAAGGCTGAAGAAATAACTTTAACAATTGGCCAAGCGTTTAACCTGGCATACAGGAAATTTCTAGAATCTGGAGGAAAAGATGTTGAAACAAGAAAACAGATTGCAGGGTTACAGAAAAGAGTGAGTAAACTAAACTTTTTTTCACATTGATGGGATGTAAGGACAGGGAAACTTGCATATCATCAAACAAATTTAGAAGGCCTGCCATCCAATTTCCCCCACACTGATTGGATCTGCTTTCACTGTGTTCCTATAATTTTTCATTACTGATCCCCTGCACAGTTTTTAACCATTTTATATTGAATTCCCACAAGAACTTAGTGTTCTCATGTGACTTTGCTTCACTTCCTGATGCTTCTCATGGGGATCAGAGCAGCAGAAGCAGCAGATGCTGGGTAAGTGGTTTCCCATGCAGATCAGATTCCTTTGTAATTAAATTACACCCTTTCTCCATTCTCTTCAAAATCATCATAAGCAAGTTTCACTGTCTTGTGGTTATACTCCAAGATTATGGGTACAGATTGCACGGTGCTACAAGAAACATAGAGATGAGGCATTAGGAACATGAATTTTGCACACAACTAAGAGCATTTTATAAATATAATATGTCTGTATAGTGACTGAGAATTCTCTTTCCCAAACTTTATCAAATAATACAAAAGAATACATTAAAATTAAATATATGAAATCCCATTCATTAATGCAGTCATTATAACAGCCAGTATTTTCCAAGAATAAATTTCTGAAGGTTATTCAATAATCATTTGCTCTTTTAGATTCAAGACTTAGAAACAGAAAATATGGAACTTAAAAACAAAGTGCAAGATTTGGAAAACCAGCTAAGAATAACCCAGGTATCAACATCGCCTGTAAGTATAAGAGTATGTGCATGTTTTCCTGGGAAACAAGGTATCCTAGAGATAAAACATCTCTGGATCCTCAGCTCTGTGATATTTCTAGTACTACTCTGTGATCATTAATTAAAAACTACACATGGGTAGAGATAAAAAATGCTAAACAAGGTTGATTTAAAAGTTACCTAAGTAGCTGAAATCAGAGTTATTTTTCTATGCTACTCGTTTCACTTTTTTTTCTAGAATAATTCAGCCTTCAATTTTTTTCGTTGTTGCATATTTGTTTTATTCCTATTGATTACTGTTTCCTGAGGTTTGCTTTAGTGACCCAAAACTGTATATCCTTGGAGTACTAAGCTTCATTCTAGAAACTAGACTGTTAACAAGACCAAATTGGGTTTCTTACATCACATAGCAGGAGTTCCCACAGGGGACACAGTGGTACTTCAGACACTAAACTGAATGGTAGTCTCTGCAGACAACACTCGAATGTTTATCATTAAATTGTTTATTTGTGGTTTCTCATACAGTTTAAATCCCATTCCCAATACCATGTGTGATACCATTATTTTGTGATTTTGGCTAAGAGAAATTTTTAGAGGGAGATGGAACTTAAAACTATTTTTTCTAGGCAAAATATATTTAGGATATTTTTTGAATCATCAGTACTGATGATATTCTGCACTAAAGTGTATATTTTATTTTGTAATCTAAAAATATTTAATACATAATTTATAGCATTATACTGAGGTGAAACACAAATACGGCATTTGTAAACTTTTGAAAAGAATTTTTTAGCAAATTTTTATTTGCAAGTTCATTTTGGTGTAATCACGAGGCTAACTCAACAAACACTTTTAGCATATGTGTATATATTTTGCCATCTATGACTAGAATATCTCACCAGTTCACCAGGAAGAATGCTTCTATGAGAAGTTATATTTAGGGCTTCAAATTTGGTGTGCCCTGGAAATGGACACACCAAATTCCTTTCCTTTACACTTACGCTTTCCCATCTCCCACCCTGCAGCAGTTGGTATTTCCATTGCTTGCCATGTAGTTTGTGACTGTGGGGCCGATATGGCTGAGGAGAGGGTAGGAGTGAGGTACTTACATTCCCATGTACCTTTGTTATGCACAGTGAGGTGTTGGAGCATCCTCTTCAGGTTCTGGCATATTTTAATATTCTTTCCTACATTTTTATCTTCACTACCATTATTATTTATTTCTTATCACAATTATAATTTTTTGTTTGTTCGTTTTTCTCATTTTAAAGGAACAGAGAGCATCAGCTCAGACTCCTTCAACCTTTGGGCCCCATATGATGCAACACCCTACTGGGTCTTGTTGAAAGTCATATTATAAATCATCCTGTGACACAAATTAAGAGTATAAAGATAAATGGAGGAAAAGTTTTTCAAGTAGTCTTCATAAGGTGTTGTTCTTGGAATTATTGAGTATGAAATCTAGCTTTATTTCAGTCTTTGTGTTTATAAATGAGTAAGGTAAGATCCTTTGCCATTTAAATGCAGAGGAAAAGCTGTCCATTTTGTATCCTCTTTCCCTAAGAGAGCTAAGGGTATCATGTTAAGGAATGAATTTGGGAGGAGCAGAAGGATTTGGGACGTGTGGATTAAAAACTCACTCCCCCCTTTTATCTCCTGAAAGCAGACACTGCCCTGGACAAGCACTGGGGCAACCGAGAAGAAGGTGGGTCAGGTTTAGGGTTGTGCCTGCGCCTTGGTTACATCACATGGCTGCCAAGTGAGCTTCATAAATGGCTAAGGGTAGGAGGAATGAAGAGATGGCACTTGTAACTTTCTGTGACCTTCTGACTGAGATGGCCATTACAGGCCATGAGTGAGAATGTTGGTATGTAAATAAACACAGACTATCTGTGAGTATATTCATGTATTCAGCAATTCTCATTGGTAGAGTCAGTTATATTAAAAAAAGCACAATTATTCAAATAGCCAGTTATTTAAGTGGATTAACTCTCCTGAAGTTGTTGTTTAATAATTTTTATAGGCATTGTGTTCATTTCAGTACTGAATGTGTTTCAGCAGAATGTGTCAAAGGCTATAACTAAAAGATTAAATTAGAAAAGAAAAATTATTTTTTCTAAACCACTCTTTTGAGCATAATGAGTTCAGTGTTGATCACGTTCAATGTTGATCAGTGATCATTGTGCAAATAAATCAAATTATAAATGACCAATCTATTTACATTCTTTTGCCACTGTAGCTTTTTTTTTGCATTTTTTCTTTAACTTTCAAAAAGGTACTTGTCTCATTCTCAGGCTCCTAAAGTCTTATTATGTGATTTTTGAATTTGCTGATACACCAGAAGATGTACATCTTTTTGAAGATAAAAATAAAATGCATTTGATTCTTAAAAGAAAATAAACTCAACATTTTTGAATTGTTAAAAGACATATGATTAACTCAAAGTCATTTGGAAATATTGTTATAGGTACTTATTAACATACTTTAAATTTTTTTAAGGGAATATCACCAAATATTTTTGCCTTTTATTTTCTATTTTAGTCATGTAGCTGTGAAATGTATTAACATAATGCTAAGTGAATCTATTTCACATTTGTTAAAATTAGCTCCCAATTTTCTGATATTTTAAATAAAATTAAATTACCTAAAATTATTTAATAAGTATGAAATGTTGACATGCTTATAAATATCCACTTTTCTGAAGGTTTGTTAATGATTTGAACTATTAGAATTTAATTTCAAAAACAATGGAAATTATAAATAATTAAAGTATGAACTTAAATATAGGTACCCCATTGTTAAGTAGCTTGCAGTGAGTCTGTAAGAGCAAATTTTTATTAAGTTAGGAATATTTTACAACTGTTCTTAGGAAATTTGAGCATCAGTTTTACAGGACAGCAAGCATCTGAGAGTGCCAGCAGGTGTTGCAAAGTTAATGCATAGTAAATACCTGTTGGGCTTAGAACTTTGGAAATGAGACTTGTGTAGATTTTGTTTGTTTGCTTGTTTGATTAGTTTTCAGAGGACTGAAGGATAGAATGCCTCAAAATTGCTAGAGTTCTCAGCAGTTTGTTTAAAGGATTAAAGGCAGCAATGTACATTAATTGAAGCAGCAGTGAAGTGAACTATGGGTCCCATCACACATTTAAATTACACTATAGATGTGTTTGGTAAATACAATTAATTTGGCACCAGATTCTCCATGAGCTTTCAGTGTGCTGTAATGAGATGGACTCTCAAGACAGATGTCACTTCACCAATGACCAGCCCTCAGTCCAACAGGAGCCAAATTTTCCTAAGTTGCACATAGGTAACTCTTTTACCATATAAAACACTCCAATTCAAAAACAATTCTCTAAAAAATAATTTAAACATTATAATTTGATTCATAAAAATAAACACATGAACAAGAATTTTCTGAAGTATCAGGATTGCTAGTCAAACACAATATAGTCCACATGAAGCAGTTGCTAGTAAAATAAAATTAAAATTAAATTAAATTTCTGATGTTAGCTTTAAAATGGTGTGTTTGGGAAGAGGGAGAAAAAGAGAACAAAGTAGGAATGGAATTTGGGGGGCTTGGTGCATGGGTTGAAAGTAATGTAGAAAATGAAAATAATGTAAATTATTGGTATGCATGTTGTTCTTTGAGTGTGTGATGAAATATCAGATAAAGTCAGTTATGGAAGCATTAGAAAAATTAAAAGAAACATTTTTGGTACAATTTTATTAGATAACTAATAGATCACAAGCCATCTTTCCTAGCAAGAGGTCTGACATTAAAGTTGAGTTTCTCTAACACAGAACAAAGATTTAAAGGAATAAGATCTTTTAATGGGAAATTTTGATGTTACAGATGTTGATTCTCTTAATATATATTAAATTGTATATTGAAATGTGAGGCCTGTTGAGTAGAATGCTATTCTTCACTCTCCTCCAAGACACCTCAAGGAAAGGTTGCTACCTTTAATCATTTACATGATACATGAATCAGTGTGCATTGGTTATGGAACCCCTTTCTGAGCAGGTGGCATTTGGATTGACAGCTGAATGATAAAAAGTCAATGCACAGGGCTGAAAACATTAAGACCTTTAACCTGGAAGACAGTGAATGAGAGCTAAAATAATCAGTTGGAAATGACATTGAAGAGAGGGTCAGGGTCTAGATTTTCCAGGGTCCTGTGAGTAAAGGTTTTGTTTTGTTGTTGTTTATTTAATTGCAATGAGTGAGCAATCACTCAAAGGTTTTAAACAGGATTGGGGGGTCATCTGGCTGCTGCATGCACCATGCACTATAAAGAAGCCGAAGTGAGGTCCACAGAACTGGCTAGGACACTATAGCAGCAGAGTAGGAGAGGGAGAGGAGTACATTGGTCTAGAATGTACTCTATCAGCTGAGATGAACGTGCTCTTCTATCAGCTGAGATGATGAGCATAGCATGATCCCTGACACATTTTGGAAGTAGAGTTGGCAGGATTTACTGATGGTTGTCTAGGGGCTGTAACATATAAGAATGGTCAGGATTGCCCCTGAAGGTTTTATCCTGAGCATGTGGGTAGTGATGCCATTTTCTGAAGTAGACATAACTTGGAGAAGGTGAACATTAAAAAAATCAGTATTTTACTTTTGCTCATGTTAATTCTGCCTACTGGACAGAGATTTTTAATAGATGTTGAATATACAAAACTGGAATTCAAGAAGGAGGTCTAGGGTTACGGGTATGGTACTTGAATGAAAAAAGTGTGCTCTTTTTCTGGCATCATGTAAAGTATTGTTTATTGTTTTAGTTAATACAGTCGGTATAAATTTGCTCCCTGTGCATTTATGGAGTTTTGTTGTACCTACAAAAAAAACAAAACAAAACAAAGCAAAAGCCTTCTTTCTCAGTATTAAAATCAAAAGACATTTCTAACTAAAATGTATATATTTAATATATATCACAAACCATTTTTACTTAAAACCAGTTCCTTATATGCATGATGAATGAAGAGCACTCCATTTTTTAATTT